TTTCAATTCATGTTCAGACATGTAAGCAGCCTAAAGAAATTGATGTATAATATTGCTTCTGGTAGTAAAGATATCTCATGGCAAAAAAATATAGGAATCTCTGTGCCTAAAATTACATTTTAAAAAGTATACATTACTTTTAAGGTAGACCATAGATAAAATAATAGAATGCAGGATGTCATGATATGCACTTTGTTACTTACACTCTACAATGGCGATTTTCTTATTTGTAATTGAATCCTTATTATTTCTGTAAAGACTCTGATGTGAAAAAATACATTGTCACGAAATAAATAATTTTTGTTATTCTGTTGTTTATTGGGTTATGTTTGTGCTTTATCTTCTGCTATTAGTTTTTGCTATGAATTTATAACATAATCTAGATCACTGTGACTACCCTGTTAAATCAGTGTATAGCACAATGATACAGTGTTCTGCTTTGATTCCTCTCTCTCTCTCTCCCTCTCCATATATATATATACACACACACATATGTATATATACATATACACACATATGTGTGTGTATATAATTAATTTTGTTAACTAGAAATTTTTACAATTTCATTTGCAAAAGGTAGTTTGTTTTTTTTTTTCTGCAAAGTAAATGTTGCCAGGGTCATGTAAGATTTATATTCTAACCTTGAAACCATTTTAAGAATGACTGGAGAATTTTGCTTATTGTTTTTGGAGATCTCAGTGTCTTATTCATAAAAAACTTGAGGCCCTTTAATTTAAAGTAAACTTTTATACATAGAAATTATTAAAATCCGAATAGTTTTTGTGGATGCATTTGTTTAACATATGTTTGTCGAATGCCCACTCTGTCCACAGGACAGAGCACTGTGGAGTGCTTGTGCTCGTTGGCCTGACCAATTAAACATTTCATCTTCTTCTTCTTCTTTTCTAGAAAAAACTGGACAAGGTACTGAAGAACTACGATACCATCTGCCAGATTAACTCAGAGAGGTATCTGCAGCTGGAACGGGCACAGTCCCTGGTTAACCAGTTCTGGGAAACATATGAAGAACTTTGGCCATGGCTGACAGAAACACAAACAATTATCTCTCAGCTTCCTGCCCCAGCCCTTGAATATGAAACTCTAAGGCAGCAGCAGGAAGAACATCGGGTAAGCCTGGTGTGAAAGAGAATATTGGATTCCCCATTAGAAGAGAATCATGATTTTTATGACGGTTTTTAGTGCTGTTAAACACTTACATGATTAAGGCATTTTGATAATGCTGTGTTCTGGTCTGTGTAATTTGCTTACCTCATAATTGCTTGTTATACAGGGTTATAGTGAGAAGGCTCATGTGGATAGACTTATTATATATGTCATGTTATATCACAACTTTTATAAAATTGAATGCAGTATAAACCATCTAGATAGAAAAAAATTCCCATTTAAAAATGTTACAGAAATAAGCTTTTGAAGCACTCTCAAGTTACACACATTGAATTGTTTTTAATTTATATGTGTAGAATGTAAATGCAGAATAGAAATACATGGGAGAGCTGTTATACAGACAAGGCCATTGAGCTTGGAGAAAATGTGTAATATGGCTGAGTGTGGTGGCTCACGCTTGTAATCCCAGCACTTTGGGAGGCTGAGTTGGGCAGGTCATGAGGTCAGGAGTTCGAGACCAGCCTGACCAACATGGTGAAACCCTGTCTCTACTAAAAATACAAAAATTAGCTGGGAGTGATGGCACGTGCCTGTACTGTAATCCCAGCTACTTGGGAAGCTGAGACACAAGAATCACTTGAACCAGGGAGGTGGAGGTTGCAGTGAGCTGAGATTGTGCCACTGCCCGATTTGCCCTAGGTGATAGAGCAAGACTCTGCCTCAAAAAAAAAAAACAAAAACAAAAACAAAAAAAAGAAAAGAAAATGTGTAATATAATGAATGTGTCAACATGGTAATATTATAAAAGCTATGAGAAGGAAAAATGATGAAGTATAAAGACAGATTATTTTGTTCATCTTATGTACATGGAACTCTTTGAAGTTCTTATTCCTGTAAATGTAGATGAGTAAAGAAGGAAGAACACATTTACAAGTACAGTTATAGTACATTTTAAATATGTATGAAATGGCACATGAAGCCCTCTTTTCAGCAGTCACTTAATTGTTAATATGGCTTAAAATTTTGTAAGGGTTTATGTGAGAGTGTTCAAGACTTGTCAGAAAAACTAGATTTCTTGCTATTTATGGATTTGTGAACCTAGCTGCTCCTTCAGATCTGTACAGCATGTACTCTGAGACTGATCATGGATGTGTGTGTGTGTGTGTTTGTATGTGCATGAGTGTGTGTGTGTGTGTGTGTGTGTGTGTGTATGTATGTATATGTATGTATGCCTGTGCCCAAAAGAGAAAGAGAGAGAAACAGAGAGAGAGAGTAAGAGGGAGAGGGAGAGGGAGAGAAAGGGCGGGAACAGTTCAATTCAGGGTTTATTACATCATTGTTTGGAATATGTGACATACTTGTTAATCTTGTTTGTTTACCTTTTTGATGAATTGGCATTGAAGACTATACCGAAGTATTTATTTAGAAGAGAGTTTTAGAGAACACTTTAACTTTATTTACTATAGACTGGGAATCTTAGGGAGTTCTATCTAAATGATTCAGCAGGAGAAAGATAATGTAGAATTGAATTTTTGTATAAAGGTTTATTCGTGGCAAAAATCTGATATCTACTCACTGAATTATTTTAAATAAAAATATTTCATGGATTTCTTTGCTAAGGTGATTTGAATAGCTGCATTTTTAGCATAGCATCAAATGGTATGGAAAGGCTTATTGTTGAGCTGAAATTTTAAAAATTGAGTTTTTTGCCTTTTTGCATAATCTTAAAGCTTTCAAAACAAATTTATGATTGTTTGTATAAAGGGAGGTGCAAAGCTTTGTAGCCACATCTTCAGATTGTTTAAACTAAAAGCTTTGCTGTCTCAGAATATTTGTAGCCTCCTAGGGTGGCATTTCTTCTCCAGCTCTACAGCATCATCTCCATGTATTTTGGGGAGAAATCTAGTTCATTCTAGCCAGGAATGAAAAATGGCTCCAAGGGTCATGTTACCACGTGATAGATATCTTAATGTCACACTGGATGTCTACAGCATGACTGGACTCCTATGGCAGCATGTTGCCAAGAATCATTTTGTCACATATGAGGCAAAAGCCATCTCCTTTAGTCTCCTTTAGTGTCCTTTTTTGATGCTCACACATACCTGAGTACATAGCCAGTAGGTGTTCTCTTGCCTGTCATGGAATGGTTTAAAAAAGGTTCCTCAACTGGGCACAGTGCCTCACACCTGTAATCCCAGCACTTTGAGAGACCGAGGTGGGTGGATCACCTGAGGTCGGGAGTTCGAGACCAGCCTGACCAACATGGAGAAACCCCGACTGTATAAAAATACAAAATTAGCTGGGTGTGGTAGCACATGCATATAATCCCAGCTACTGGGGAGGCTAAGGCAAGAGAATCACTTGAGCCTGAGAGGCGGTGGTTGTGGTGTGCGCCATTGCACTCCAGCCTGGACAATAAGAGTGAAACTCCATCCCCAAAAAAAGAAGAAAGAAAAAAAGGCTCCTCTCAGTACCTGCCAAGTGCCAAGCCAAGTTGCCTCACAGTGGTGCTATACAGATGAGATCCTACCTAGACTCAAAGAAACTCAAGAAATATCAGCAGAGGTCTAGCATTTTGAGAGTCTCTTGATAACATGTGAGTGAAAGCTTGTTTTCCAGGCATTCCCAAAAGAACATTGACAGTAGAATGTATGCAATATCTTCAGTTTTCCTTTTCCATGAGATTATTTCTACTGATATGTTTACGATTACCACCTCCAGTAAAGCAGCATTAAGATATCTAATTATGCAAAATAAAAATAAGAAAACCTTGGCCTGGGACACCCAGGAGCTAGATTGCAGACTTGACCCTCCCATATACTTATGTGCCGCAGGTTACATAGACTCTTCCTTCTTTTAAAATTGAATTCATGTTTATTTAGCCCTTTCCAAAACTATTTTGAGACAGTCTTCTAAAAACCTTCAAAAAAGTATATTATATTGGTGATAGTTAATGATGTAATGTGCCAGTTTCCTCAACAAGTTCTCAAAATAATGCTCATAATTGATTTCATAGACCCATTCAATAAAAATTTAGGCATATGACCATCCTGGTGATTTTTTTCCTGGTAACTGATGGAAATTAGAGTTTGCAGGAAAAGATTGTAGCTTATCTCTAGACTATCTGTCTTGAAAGTAAGTTCACCAGAGAAGCTTTTGTGAGAGGCTGGAGTTTGGAGATACATATTTTGGTGAGGACAAAGGGCTGCTGCTGAGGGGACGTAATCAATAATGTGGTGCAAATGGAAGACTCCTCAATGCTGCACAGAGTCCAGCCTCAAAAAAATCTGCACTCAAAGGCAGATCTTCCCCCTGGGGGTGGCTTTGGCTTTGACCCATGAAAAACTGCTCATTGAAATCCACGGGATCCATGAAGTGTAGATATTCCAGCTTTATTCAGGCTTTCAACACATCTTCTCTATTAGAGGGAATGGGGCTTCTCTTGAATTCTACACCCACCCACTAGTATAAATATTGTATTTCTTGATTAGGTAACAAAATTACACAACACATTCTTATGACATGCATTTTTCCTTAAATACACCTTATAAATAATGCCAGTATGTAGCTGTGTATTGATGGATTGATTGCCCTTGAAGCCTGTAACATTTTAAAATAATGAATAGAGACAGATTCATTCATATGTATTTCTATATATCATTTATATGTAGAATAGATTTCTATATAAATATAAAATGTAATACATGGCCATTCATTTTATATCAGTCCACATATACAAATGCAATGCCTCGTGGGCTTATATCACCCTAGCATTCCTAATCTGGAGGTTTTTCTCTCCGCATTGCTCTAACTTCTATTGAGCTTCTTTCTATTCTTTTTTCTTCCCTCCCTTCTCCTTCCTTCCCTCACCCCCCATCTTGTCTCTCCCTTTCTGTTTCTACTATTTTTGTATATATCATGAGTGTGCAGAAAGGAACACCATGAGATTTGACTTGGTGTCTGTAGGTTGGGGACATAGTGAGTTCAGAATTCTTTTATGCAATATGACCCTTGGCTAATGTTCTTGTCAAAATGTGCTGCTCTTGGTATGAGATGCATAATAAACTGTGATTCATTATTTCACTGAACCAGCATCTTTGTGTGTATCCTAAAGGGACTTTGGCGTGACCAGACTGTTGTTTAATCTTTGTGTCAGGGCCCTCTCTTCCTGGCAATGAAGTGTATGAGCCATCTTGTGTTAAATGCCTTGTGCTGGGGAGGGGTTTGTTTGGAGTTTCTTGCCAGCTGGATGCATTGCAGGTGTAGACAGCTGTAATATAGAGGTGTGACCCTGAGATACTGAAAAACTGTTTGGTTTGTTATAGCAACTGCGAGAGTTGATAGCTGAACACAAGCCTCATATAGATAAAATGAACAAAACTGGGCCACAGTTACTGGAATTAAGCCCTGGGGAAGGCTTTTCTATCCAAGAGAAGTATGTGGCAGCTGACACCCTTTACAGTCAAATTAAAGAAGATGTCAAAAAGCGAGCCGTGGCACTGGATGAAGCCATTTCTCAATCAACTCAGGTAATTGTTTACACTAAAAATAGAATTGGGTTCTTGCAGACAGCAGAGTACAGAAAGACATTTTCCTGAATCTCCTGATTAAATTTTAACTAAAATTATTTCACCACATTAGCTCTGAGTATTGATGTCTGTGTCTCTCAGAGGTGATATTTGCTTGAATCCAGCCCTCCTCTACTTATCTTTCTCTGCCTACCAATAGATATAATAAAAATAATTTTCAGTGACTTACGAAACATGCAGTTGTCACATTGTCCAAATATTTAATTCATTGACCATCCTTACTAGAATGCAATATTTGCCATTGGGAGAATTAAAGGAAAGTGTTACAATTATTAATAAAACACTCTCAAGAAGGCAGTGAGAAGAAGGAATGATAGGCTGAATGAAAGAAAAAGAATATAAAGCTCTATACTGACGGTTTTTTCTTTTCTGAATATACCTTGTTTTCAAGAAGTTGAATTTTGAAATACCTACAGATTTTCCCATTTTCAAGGTTTGGTTTTTGTTATTAGTTATGGGACATTAGGGTGGGCCAATGTCACAATCCCATGACATTTAACTTTGAGATAGTATAGAACAGCGTTCATTCATAGATATGAATGAACAAGTTTTTATAGCTTTGCTTAATTGTCTATGGAACCTTTAAAAAAATTTTTTTTAATTCTCTCATGTGTCTGATTGCGTATTTAACCATTAAGTAAATAAAAGCTTCTGAAACTTGTAACTTCTGTCATGTCAGAAGTTATAACATTGGGGAGGTTTTTTCCTTTAAAGTTTTAAACATTTTTCAGTTCATGAAATGCATAACTTAAGGATTCTCTGGAATCTAATCAGAACTTTCCTGAATTTCACATTAAATAATATAAATTTTCAGGATGCCAAAATAGTTAATTAAAAATGAAGTAACCAATCCATTTGAATAGACAAATACTCAACTTATTGAACTTGATTTTTAAAATTAATTTGAATTATGATAACAGGATGAAGCAACAGATAAAGAGATGCTGCTGGCCATGTCATCCTGGTCCAATTGCATATTAACATATACCATTTCTTAATGGATACACTCAACTATTCATAAGAAACTAAGTCTATATAGGTAGTGTGACACAGAGGCGCATATACATCATGATTTGAGGCATGTCTTGACACACCAGATGGATGTAACTTTTGAATGGGTCTGTTGATAAAAAGGCTAAGATTTATTCTTAATTGTGACATTAAATTGTAAAAAATGTTTTTTCATTTAAATTTCGCGCTTGGTATTACATATCTTTTTTTCCATAAAAGATCTCTTTGTTTTACTCCTAGTTCCATGACAAGATAGATCAGATCCTTGAGAGCCTGGAACGCATCGTGGAGCGTCTGAGGCAGCCACCTTCTATCTCTGCAGAGGTCGAGAAGATCAAGGAACAGATCAGTGAAAATAAGAATGTGTCGGTAGACATGGAAAAGCTACAGCCATTGTATGAAACACTTAAACAGAGGGGAGAGGAAATGATCGCTAGATCTGGGGGCACTGATAAAGACATATCTGCCAAAGGTAATAATTTTGGAATAGGGAAACAAACTTCATTTTTAAAGCAGTTCTAAATTTTTATGCTGTTTACTCACAGTCCGGTTGCATTAAATAATGCTGCATCTTAGAAAAGGTATTACAAATATGATGTGTTTATAGTTGAAGGACTGTGTATGCAAATCCCTTATTAATGTCTTCCTGTGTTTGTGAAATTAATCGATTGAATGCAAAGTGAGCCATTATACATAGACCATGTATAATGACCATATGTTCAAAGACCATGTATTCTCAGGCCCTTTAAATTAATAGGTTGAAGCATATTGCTAATAAAGCCAAATCTAGGGGTTTTTTCTTCAGAGTTACTAGCAGAGTTACTGACTCTGCTACCTTACATAGCATGCATGCCGCATCAGATAGCCACAGAACTGGGATCTACAACCATAGCTAGCCATGTTTGAGATATGGGCTGAGGATCAAAAGGAAGAGCATGTGTGTAGTGGAAATTGACAATAAGAGTACTCTAGAAGCAAGCCCAAAATACATACCATACATTGTTATATTCCTGAACAGACGATTGTATTTTGATTTGGAGAACCTAAAGGTATACCTAGCTGATTATTTCACTCCCTTTGGGATTAAGGACAGCCTAAGTGAACTTGAAACTTGATACACTTGGTTCTACTCTGAGCTCACTTTTGTCAGGAAGAACCTTGGTTTGGCAAGAATAGGAGATCTAGAGATATTGTATTATTTGACGTAGACACTTGGACCCACTGATACCCACTGGACTAGGGTCATCCGAAACTTGGTCCAGTTTTAGATGCTTAGCAAATTGGATCACTGCCTTCTATGTGAACTGTAACATTCTGCTTTGTTGGTTACATGGGGCTAACCAATAGCCTTGTGGATGTTGTTTTGCTCCATAGCTGTTCAGGATAAGCTTGACCAAATGGTTTTCATTTGGGAGAACATACACACACTGGTAGAAGAAAGGGAAGCCAAACTACTGGATGTGATGGAGCTAGCAGAAAAGTTCTGGTGTGATCACATGTCATTGGTAGTTACCATTAAAGACACTCAAGATTTCATCCGGGACCTGGAAGATCCTGGAATTGATCCTTCAGTAGTAAAACAACAGCAAGAAGCAGCAGAGGTAAGCAGAAAATCTCATTTAAAGTTAGAAAAATAAGTTGTGTTGTAATGAAATCCAGATTTCTTGGGTAAATATTAGGGGTTATTCTGTTAAAATTTATATTTGGTTCTGAAAATGAAATGTGCAGTGATACAGTAGGAGATAGAGTTTATAGAGTATACCCACAAATTTCACTTTGAGATTCCATGTTTAAAACAGTTTTTCAGGCCCTGCTAAACGGGGGCTCATGCCTGTAATCCCAGAACTTTGGGAGACCAAGGTGGGTGGATCACTTGAGGCCAGGAGTTCAAGACCAGCCTGGCCAACACGACAAAACTGTCTCTACTAAAAATACAAAAATTAGCCAGGCATGGTGGTGCACACTTGTAGTCCCAGCTACTTGGGAGGCTGAAGCATGAGAATCTCTTGAACCTGGGAGGTAGAGGTGGCAGTGAGCCAAGATTGTACCACTGCACTCTAACCTGGGTAACAGAGCAAGACCCTGTCTCAAAAAACAAACAACAACAACAATAAAAATTTTCCCTTTATCCTAACTGTTTTTGCCTTATTTCAGGGCCTCATTATCTCTTTGTTTCTTTATAGTTTCCAGAGTAATCCAAAGTGCAGACTGTCCTTCCCTGTCAGGCCTCTGACCTTTCTGCCAGTCTTCCCTCTAGATCGGCCCTTACTGTGTTGCTGCGTAAACCCCCTCAGAGGTATCCCCTGCCTTCTGGATAAAGTTTAAACTCCCTAGAGCAGGGCATGCAGCTTTTTGCATCCCAGCCTAGCTCATGCCTATATTTCCAAAGTTATGTTTTTCTGTGTCTCCTTTACCAAGCTCCCTCCCTGCTAGTGATTAGAAAGGGTGTTTCCCAAAACAAACTGTTTTGCCCTTTCTAGCATCAGTGCCTTTGCACGTCTTATTTCCTCACTCTAGAATGTCCTTCCTGCCACTCTTCTGGCAAAGGCAACTCAAGCATCAAGGTTCAGTTGGATAATTACTCCCCATGTGAAACCTTTTTTTGTGTACTTACTGAGTTAGTGCAGCTGTGTTCCCATACTACTTTCTTCATGCAAAGGACTCTGCACATAGTATGACTTACTGTTGCTTATGCCTCTGTGTTTCCTCCTGGACTGTGGGCCCCTTGAAGGGAATAGCCGTATCTATTTTTCTTTGTATCCCCAGTGCCTGGGTTAGGACTTGGTTTATGCTTATTCAATGTTTGTTGAATGAATGAATCTATTTAACCACGGAGATGAAAGCAAAAGTAGGATACTGCCTTTCTGTTGTGGTATTTTTATACCTTATAGCTCCTACCTAGGGTAATGACATAAAATGTAAATCCAAAGCTAGATTATTCTAAATCTGCTAACAAATACATTAATTTGTATAGTTTTTGAATACATGTTTCACTTGTCTGTTTTAAAGATATAATGGTTTGGAAACCAAAATGTCTTTCTAAGCCTTATAGTATTGTTGATATTTTAAAAAATGCGTTTTGATATTTGTTAAGGTATTTCTTATTTATCATTTCTTAAATATTATCTTTATAAGAAACATTTGGCAGTTGTTACTAGAAGGGTGTATTTTTCTTTTAAAATATTTCTTTTCTTGTTAAAAAAATTTGTTGCAAAAACTTTGAAAACAGAAAGAAGTAAAAATTATTATAATGCCACCTTCTAGAAATAACCACCATTGATATGGTTGTGTACTTTTTAAAGTTTTGGTGTGATTTTGCTTAAAATTCTAAGGCTTTCTAGCCTGGGCAATAAAGCAACACCCCTGTTCTCCTCTCCCTCTTCCTCTTTCTTCCTCTCCTTCATTCTTTTTTTTTCTTTTTTCTTTTTTATTCTCTTTCTTTCTCTCTTTCTTAAAAAAAAAAAATTCTAAGGCTGTCATTTTCTTATTCTAGGCCATAAGGGAAGAAATAGATGGACTACAGGAGGAGCTGGATATAGTTATTAACCTGGGTTCTGAACTCATTTCGGCATGTGGGGAGCCTGATAAACCCATTGTCAAAAAGAGCATAGATGAGGTACAACCAGCTTACTTATCAGCATGGCTTTTAAAAAATTTTTAGTTAATGAAAATGTTTTGTTAAAAGTAGTTGAAACTTCAAAATATGACACTAAAAGAGTTCTAACATACATCTCGTAGTTAAATTCAGCATGGGATTCTCTAAATAAAGCTTGGAAAGACCGGATTGACAAACTGGAGGAGGCAATGCAGGCTGCCGTTCAGTACCAGGATGGACTGCAGGTAAGGGGATTACAGTGTATGTGCTGGGCTTAGCTGGAATCATACTAATTGATGTCTACATATTGACACCACCCTAAGACCTGCCAGTGCATATACAATTGTGGGCAAATTATTCCTGTGGTTGCCTCATGTATCTCAGTTCATGTTTTGTCTTTCAGAAGATTATTTCTGACCTTTCAGATACGTGTAGATTTATATACACATCTAAACACATTTCTGTATACACATTCAGTGAAATTTACTTTGAAAAGAAATATTTTGATTTTTTTAAAAGTGAAAGTAAATGTTCCCACGCAGTATTTTTTATAAATGGCTCAGCACCAGACAGTGAAATGGAACTCAATCTGAATTCTGTTCTGAGTGGAATAAGATGAAAGGAGTAAACACTATCTAAAAATATCACCAAGTTTAACTAAAGTCAGAAGTAAAGAAATTTGATTTGAAGCCAGTGTTCTCCATGTACAAAATAGATTTCTATTAGGTCATAATCTGGTGTGTAAAACGTGTTTTCTTCTTTTCCATATTTATAATTCCTTTTAATAGTTGTTTTTCATTTCTCTTAAAGGTTTTCGTTCAGTTCATTAACCATTTGTAAGGTTTATTTTTTTTTTAGTATTAAAAATTCTCTTGTCAGTTGAGGCCAACTAGGATGTATTTCTCTGCCTCCCTTAACCTTGCTCCATTTCCTCACAGGCTGGCAGGAGTTTAATCTTTCATCCTTCTTACCATATGGAAAAAGCTTAAGTATTTCCATAACACAAAGTGAATATTCTTTTTAAAGCCCAGATGAGAACATCTTTTCCTTTTTCATTATGCCACTCCATTTCTATATTTGTAAAAATAAATGTCACAGCTAGGCTTTATGCCAGCTGAGAAGTTTTTTGAACTTTGGAAATATATGAAAAATTTTACGACAAATAACACTTTATTATAATTCCCCTTTCCTTTTTTTTTTTTTTTTTTTTTTTTTTTTTTTGTAACCAAAGTGATAATTTACCAGTGAGGTATCAATGACAAGTAACTAACTTGGGCTCCAGCCCATCTGTGAGACTCGGTCAAGAATCGATCGAATAAACCATTTATTTTGCAAACTTGTGTGTATCTATTTCATATTTGGGACGATCATTTTGATATATTGCTGCTTTTACTTATTTAGGTGAACCATGTTAATTTTTTATTAAATAGTCTCATTTCACAATATCTTTTAGATTTACAATTGTATTTTTCTGTGGTACTTGAAATATTGTAGCAATTTCAAATGTACTGTTGTAACAACACATGGACTAATGTGTCTTTCAGGCAGTATTTGACTGGGTAGATATTGCAGGTGGTAAATTAGCTTCAATGTCTCCGATTGGAACAGATCTTGAAACTGTCAAGCAGCAGATTGAAGAGCTAAAGGTATGTGTGGGAACCAATTTATCAAAGACTTCCTTGCAGTTTTAAGTTCTTGATTCACATGATTTTTACATAAATTTATTTTACCTAATGTTAAGTATGACAACTTAATTATAAAGCTAGATTAATGCACATTGTGCCTTCACATACTAAGAAATATATAAGTGCTCATTAAAGGAAAGAAAATGCTATTAATAGTTTTCTTTTTATAATAAATTAATTATGGTTAATTATAGAAAAATCAGAAAATACAAATAAAAAGGAGAAAAACAAATTATTTGAAGTCACCCAAAATGTTACGTACCTAGAGTCAAACTTTCTTAGATTTGATTTATAGCCTTTTCAGTATCTTCATGTTAGGGACATACGATGTGTGTGTGTGTGTGTGTGTGTGTGTGTGTGTGTGTGTTTAGAGAGAGAGAGATGTATTTAGATAATACTGTAAGGATTTTTATAACTTGTTTAACTTGTTTATTATTCAGTAGTATATTGTTATCAGTATACTACAACATCATTTTTCTTTTCCTCATACATATTTTTAATGCTAATTTTTAATTTTTGTGGGTACATAGTAGGGGTATGTATTTATAGGTTACATGAAATATATTGATACTGGCATGCAATATATAATAATTACATCAGGGTAAATGGAGGTACCCACCTCAAGCATTTATCCTTTGTGTTACAAATAATCCAGTTATACTCTTTTCATTATTTTTAAATATACAAAAATTATTTCTGACTATGATGACCTTGTATGCTCACAAATACTAGGTCTTATTCATTCTTTCTATTATTTTATACCCATTAACCCAATATTTTTATTTTCTTTAGAGTGTTCTGAGTAATTCATTTAGTCTAACAGGTTAAAAACACATCCATGACATAATAATGTTTCCCAAAAATGTTAGTTTTGTGAAAGTTTGTTGTTTTTCATAGTTGTCCTCTGTAATTTTTGCTTTTGTAGTTCTTGATCTGCAGATGTGAAAATGGCTAGGCTGTTTCCTCTTGGAATTCCTCTGTACCAATAATCATTTATCAAAATGGGATCAGCTATTTCCTTCCTAATTTTAACTCTCCATATGCAGAGACATCACACCGTTTGCTATGAACTCTGCTAGAATTTATGTGAAATTATTATCTGGCTTTAAAATTACAGCATTTCTATCTCTAAGTACAGCATAGAATATTTCATTTAGAAACAAATTTTCTTTGTGATAATTTTATAGTTACCATCACCAAATTGAGATTTTTATTTTACTTTAATCTGCTCATGTAGCAAACACATGATATACTTTATGTACAATTATGAGTGTGGATAATTTATTTTTGATAGGTTTTTTTTTTTTTTTTTT